AATGGGGAAAAAGTACAGAATGGAACTAATAAAGAATCAAACCAATTGGATTATGATTTGCACGTTGGTAATTAGAACTTGAATGGCAGAAAAATCGAATACTAGATATTAATGTGGTAGATCATAACAGTAGCGAAGCTTCTATCTCTACCACCACGTATCGTCGTATCAGTACTCCGTACCCATTCCATAAGTCCATTCTCAATTAATTTCACACCTTTTATCGTTCAATGATTTAGTGTGTCATTTGCGTGAAATAATTTTTAAAACGTGAATCATTAAATATGTTAAATCACAAAGCGAAAACGCGTAAAAATCACCATTGTTACGAATTAGATTCGTTTATTCAGTAATAATTCGTATTTTTTCAAAAGTTTCCAACTACCTCACTGTACTTATCCACTTCTTTTACTTTGCCGTGCCAAATTTTTAATTTTTTTAAAATTCAATTCATTCAAAGTGATCACGAAAAGAAATCAATTATATCAGGCGGAAAGGTGATTTTCCTTCTGAAGGACGATGTACCACCACCTTCAAAATGTTGCCCAATAATTCTTCACATCAACTCAAAAAAACACTGAAGTGACCCAAAATAATGTTATGATTTTGCACATTTTGTGCGCGCGTTTTTCATTTGCATGCAAAATATGCTCGTTCACAAAACATTTACCGGCAAGGTCGACCTGCAAAAAATCGCACACACAAATTAGCGTTTAATTCTTCTATGAAATCGTTGTTCAATTCGCAAATTCCATCAATCACAAGGTATTTCCATGCATTTGTCTAATGTCCAATTAATTATTTGAGTACGTCAAGACATTTGTGGTATAAGTGCTCGCATAATTGAATATAACTCGGGTGGTGTGGCTGTCAACTCAGCGACATATTCCATTTTTCCACACCAAATCACATGCCGCGCTGTATGCGCACATTTTATTTGTTCGATTTAAAAATGTTCCATTCATTCACGTCCGCACCGAATTATACAATCAAATCTAGTTACGGTTGATAATTAGCAAATTGTTGAATGATTTTTTCAATGTAAAAATATGCAGTCATGTAGTTGTTGTCACTTCATTGTTACCTCCTAAATTGCGTATTTGGATCGTTATTCGCATCGATAATTAAGTAAATTTGCCATGTAGAAAAGCGGCGAGGCAACGAGTTGACAAAAACGACACAACATAAAATGCTAAACGAATATGTATTTAAAACGAACTATGAAATTATTCGATAACCAATATCAAGGTGTCATAAATGGCAAGCGATGCAATGCATCAATATGGGCACAATCAACTTTTTGATTAATAAGCCCGCAACGATTAAGTTCGATCTCGCCGAGATCAACTGATGGTCTGTGTTTTTAATCCGTTTGAAAAAACAACCCAATCAGTTTTTGAAATAGATATGCCGTATAAAATTATAGATTGCAAATTTTCTATCGCAGTATTCTATACTTTGGACAGTGTGACGGTTTTTTTTCTGCGCTGTTTTTATTTTCAGTTGTTTTTTCTCTGCTATTCGCGATCTTATTGACGTTGTTTTTATATCGACGTTGTCGTATGGCATGTAAGTGATGAGCTTTGATGTCAATAACTGTCAATGGCTGTAGAAAAAAGAAAAAAGAAAGGAAAACGCAACACAGACAATCAATGTGACCTTGGAAAAGTGTAAACAGCATGCGACGAGCAGAAACATTGGCGGCAATAGCCACACTGGCATCAGAAGCAGCAGCAGCAGCAGCAGCAGCAGCAGCAGCAGCAGTAGCAACGAGCGCATATAATTGTTCAATCAAAACCTCACTTGCCAACGGAATAGACGGAAAATGCGACATTTATTTTTAGCCACATTCATATCGATTTGCCCAGAATGGTGCGTTGTAAAACGTCCACAGATGATAAATGATCAATACACATTTTTCCACTGTGCATATTTTCCATTCTGTCGATATTCCATTTGGGGAAATGGCATGCAATGTAAGTGAGACAACTCAAATGTCAACAAGACACACGCACTCTACATTGCTTCAGTAATTAGGCAGAAAAAAATCACACACACAAAGCCCCCATCGGTAAAAATATACATAATGCGACAGAACGACAAAAACAAAACGCATCAGTCTCGAGAACGTGCCACAAAATCGCACTCGCGCCCGCAAACACGCATAATATTGCCACACTTATTCTCGTTGCTCGCACTTTTGGCCATAATTTAATGAAAAACAACGAACAAAAAAAAATATTGAATCAAAGTTGAGAATTTCATAAGATTGAACAATATCATTGAACTACTAGCTCAATAAATAGACATTCAGAGCGATACAAAATAGCACGAAACCATAACGAAATGAAAGCAGCTTGCTTCGCCATAACAACAGATAGAGAAAAAAAAGAAGAAGAAAAAAAAACACTCGGTGCACACCACACCAGCAGCAGAAAGATAATAATAAATATTTATGGTGCAGTACACAGTGCATCAATAAATCGCGTAATCGAAACGGCAACTTTGCGATTGATGGAAGTGCTGCTGGTGTTGGTGCTGGTGCTGGTGCGTTCTGTGCGAAAATCCAAATAAATAAAAATCACAAAACGCTCATAATTTATCTAATGGCATTTCGAGCAGCTGTCAAATAAGTTTCGCGTTTCAATCGGAATCGCATTGCTATTTGCCATTGCTGCTGCCGATCGACTTCATTCAGGCAACTTTGCAAATATGTATACTCCAAAACCATAATTTATCCAAGCCAAATGCGAACGCAGCAGCAGAAGAAAAAAAATAATCATAAATTTTTATTAAAATTGCATAAATGGAATGTGCTTGTGCGCGCGCTTCGATCTCGTTGTGTGATGGTGTCACAGTGCACACACCATTTTTATTAGCATTATTTTCTACATTCAGATATTTAACGGCACGCTAGGCTTTTCGCCGTTTTTCTCTCTCTTTTCGCTCAATGCGAAATATTTATTCATTTTTATGGACATCATGGCAAACTAGGAAATGAACAGAAAAAAAAACGTTGCGCAAAATGTTTTATACGGCAGCTAGGTGCTAACTAACTTGATTTAAACTTTGTATTTTTCCAGCGAACCAAGCAAACATATGTAATAAAAAAAAATATGATTTTTGACCGATCATCCGACGATTTTCTACGATAGAAAAACGGACAAAAACGATTTTCTTCAATCAAAACAGACGATGAATGGCTGTTGATATTGAATCGCTTCGTGTACAATTTTGCTATTTCAGCTTTGTGTTTATTAGCCGAAGACGCAGTTCAGTTGCAGCTAAACACGAATTCATCATTGCAACCACAAACAAAGCTCGAATATCGATACAATTTATCCGATTCGAAACCGGGTGAAATTATCATAAAATGTCATTAAATCGAATCGCAGCCGCATTATTCCATATTTCTGATTTAATGTTAATTGCAATCAAAGATTGCGTTGTGCTTTTGCGTTTAATGATATGAAATTCAGATGAAAACATAAATCTTGAATTGTTTTATTGCCAACACACGACGATTTATGTGCGTGCGATTTGGATTTTCTTGTTGTTTAGAAAGTGAAACGGTTTTTGATGTTGCTACATGGCCGGGCAAACCATAAACAATAATTATTGTTTATGCGCTGTTTTCCTCGAACTACACTCCGTGTGTTCGCGTTGCACACACACACATCAAAACGTAGAAAATGAAGAAAAATCGAGGCTTCGTTTCACTTCCAAAGAAACATAGGGAAAGAGGGAACGAATATCGATTCTTGACCGAAATAAATGCATATAAATTTTCGGCTTGCCCACAACAACAAATTATATTCTAGGGACGCATTACTTTGATTCATTGCTAATGCGAACGAAGAAAAATATTACGTGGCAATTAGATGTTTGTGAAAGAAATGTGCACTCATGAAATGAACAAGCGAACAAACTCATTTCGACAAATCCAAGAACAATGAGTGACGTAGAGGACGACGACGGTGTATTTGTATGTTGGTGTGAAATTGTCAATATATTGAAATTCCCGGTGACAGAATGCATGTAACGATGAACACAGCCAATGCAGACTTTGATTAATATTTCATAAGTGAATACACGCATTGCCGTAGAGCAGTGCAAGTTTTGATATGCACCCCAGAGACTGAAGCGAACCAAAAGACCATGTTAGACAGTATGACCTCGTTGAGTTTTCGATAATACTACGACTATCTTAGACGGTCCGAGCTAATAACATCTCGCACCACACACATAGACAGTTCGATCGGTTCAGTAACCGAACATGAAAACAACAAACAAATTTTCGGAATATATATAAATGCGTGTTGTGCCATTGAAAACACAAAAACAAACCATTAAAGACGACAGCCAAGCCAAAACACGAACTCTATATCCAAACAAACCAATACAAAACACATGCAACATCTACTGCATGATTTATTGGCAGTCATTGAACAGATCAAAAATTTTACCAGAACTTGAAGCGTTGCAAGTTCAAGGAATTTTTCATAACAATTTTCCTACTTTCATAAGCTCAAATTCGGAAGAAATCTTATGAATTTTCAAAATCTTCAGAAAAGGCGCAGAATAATTACACACAAAAAATATGAATCCAATTTGATTTTTGGTTTTCAAAATGCCTCGATTCGATAAAACTGGCTGAAACATGAATATGCAGAAGCGAAAATCAGCACACCGAAAATCTTTCTCAAGCGATTGAAAATTTATGTGGCCAATTGAAATTTTGGTTCATTACCATTCGAATTCGCTAAAATGTGTGTGTTCATTATCAAATATGCGAATCTAAATTTGTTTGCCTTCAATTCTTATTCCTCTTGTTTGACATTTTTTGTTTCGCTTTCGCTTCAAATGCATATATGTTCCAGACTCTGAAATCCAGAGTGCTGTCGTATTTGTTGGTATGGCAAAGAAGAGCGCGTGTTTGCATATTACAACTAGTCATTTTATCTGTTTTGTGTACATTTTTTTGTCTGTTTCTCCTTCGATTTTGGTTTTTCGTGTTCTGTCGTCGCGCATATTCTCTCGGCATTTGTTGCATTTTTCCGTTTATTTACGTTGCTGCTGCTGTTGGTGGTGATGGTGCTGCAAAAAGCGACTTGTTTGTCGATTCCATTTTAACCGGCTGATACCATTCGATAATATAGTTCAACGTTTTCGGATTTCTCTTAATTAACGCGCGTGTATTTTTATTTTTTTCTGTGTCGTATTTAATGTCGACTCACGATGTGTGATCTGGATCTCGTTGAGTTATTATGTCAGCACATTTAAAATGTTATAATTATGGAATATGCATTTGCTAGACGGATCCCTTGCTGGCGAAGTCCATGGAGACTCGGTTGTGTATTGTATTAAATACAGCAAAAAGTATGTTTAATCGCTTCGGTCTATCTTGTGCAAAGCAAACGAAAAAAAAACGTTTGCTTTTCCTTTACATCGGAATAATTCACCACGTGTTGAATGAGAACCTGTGTCGCACACACACACACACATACCAACTCGCCATCAATTTTACTGATTAAATTATTCCTGGCCATTTGATTAGCAACGTGTCGCGTACTTCAACAATTTCAAGCAAAACTCTCAGCGCGAAAATAAACGAACATAAATGTGGAATAAACGTAACAATTATTACGTGTATCATTTATTCTTCACTCTCTCGTGAGATGATTATGGGCATGGACTCCTTTATAGACAACAGAATGATATGCACCTTTATTAAGACGTCCCAAAACGAAAAAAGCAAACCATCCACAGTGTATACTTGACCGTGAGCGATGCTAAATCGCGATTCGTGCACTAATGCAGAGATACATTTTTGGATAAGCACATCGAAAAGGAAATGCTAAACACAGCTCTTATTCTCAGAACCCAAAGCAATCCTGTATGCGTATTGATTGAATGTGTATTGAAAATCGGTTTGTTGCAAAAATTTATATGAAAAAAAAATCTTTAGTTTCAATCAATTTGCGTGGTAAAACTGGAATATTTACAAAAAGGAACTTTCCAACTGGATCAAGATCATGGTCCATGATTCATGGAGATGAAAATACCTTTTAACGAGACTAAAGTAGATTGATGCTCCTGTTGATTCAACAAATCGAGTTTTAGTTTTTATGACCGAAACTTTAGCTATGGTAAATGGTAGGGTTTACAAACGTTTCGACAAATACCGCAAACGGTGTTATAAAAACGTTATTTTTCTGTAGTGTTTTTTTTGACAGTCCAAAATACCGCAGAAATAACGATAAAAAACGAAAAAAACGTTTTTTGGGCGGTATATAACGGCTCTGTAAAAAAACGTTTTTAAGAAACACTGAAAAAAATAACGCGTTTTTAAACCCTAGTAAATGGTCGTTAGAGGTTTTCGACTATTTTTTTTTCCAGTAAAATGAACACTAGGAGGACAAATTCCTTCGTCATATTTACATTCTGAACATTTTTTCATTATATTAGATTTTACAGATTTTTTTGTAGATAGTACAAGAGCTTCATAACAAAACCAGTACCAAAGATCGTTTGAATGTCGATAAAAAAAATGTTCATTATTCTCGAAAATGATCCCGCAAAATACTTTTCTGCATTTAGTTACTAATTTTCTATGGTAATATGTGAATATCCTTAAATCTGATCACCGCATTGAAACCGGCCATTGATTCTTTGACCATTGAAATGAATGGAAATTTGAATGAAAAACCAAATTCATTCATCGTTTACAAATATTGTCGATGATCTTTGTAACCATGTACGATGTGAATAACAACTTACGTTCATTCTTTGTTTTTGGCCAGACGGTTAAAGTAAAATGTCGCCAAGATCTAGGCCAAACACATCACCGTTCTGAAATCCGATTATGCTTCGAACATTCGAATGTGGATAGTATTAGATAGAAAATTGTCATTAATCTGAGAGATTATAATTCATTAGGAACAATAGAGACATATTTCAAAGGTAAACAATCGATAAGTGACCTGTTGAACGACCCCGACGAATACTTGGTCAACTCTTTTCTTTATGCTGCAATTTTATCACCAACTATCTCTCATTAAGGAAAAAACAACAAAAGATTGTAAGTCGACTCGACCATGGCTGATGAATAATCTTTTGTTTGTGGGCGGTGCTTTGTAACTTGCAGAACGACACAGCAAAGATTTTCGCTCATCAAGATACATCCCGACAAAACGAAGAACATTCAAAGGTTTTTTATGCATTCAGTCAAAAATTAAAAATTTCTTCTTACGACGGTAAAAATGCAGAATCGTTTTTTACCAAACAATTTCCATTAAAAATGTTTACAATTTGATATAAAATAAATCAGTTGAAATAAAGCGAATGAAATAAGAATCCGTTTGATGTGTCACCGATCACGAGGTCCTGTGTGTCTTTTTTTTGTATCTTTTTCACTCCATTTTTTGTCTGCGACATTTTTTAACTTTCTTTCAGCGTTTGTTTCAGTCTAGGTTACTAAACTATAATAATCTGCTCGATCATATTCATTTACTGGTTATTATTTCATATTTGAAGGGATAATCTCATGGTATTTTTTGTCGGGCAGTAATCCACTGAAAATCCTTTGCTCCACACCCACCTTTGCCGTAAACTGCTTTTGTAGCAAACAAACGTTGTAATATAATGTTCATAAATCTTCAAATGTGACCGGCAATTGTCGAATGGTTACAACTTTTTAATTCACATTTTGAGCACAGCACACACAAACACTGCGGATGAGATAATTCAATACTTGTTTGATTCAAATCTAAGATGGTGATAAGGGAGAATGTGTAATAAAGACTGAAAAATTGAATTTATGAACTGATTGCGTAAAGCATATGAAAAAAAATTGTGTTTTTTCGTAGTTGTTGTTCATATTTTCATCATTTCATTCGAAATCAACGAAGAGAGTCAATGGAATAATAAACCTTAGTCTGTAATAAACAATCCAAAAATAATTGGTTGAATCTTGCTCAACTCACACAAAAAATGTACTCTCCTTTTGTGCGTGTATTTAATCTTTTGTAAAATGGAACCTAAAAAACTTGTCACATGGTTTTAAATGGCAAAGAGAATTTCAAAGAAGAAATTGAAGCAAAGAAAAAAACAGAGAGAAGAAGAAGAAAAAAAAACTGCCGACAACAATTGATGACAACGATTACTGGGTACAATGCATGCGAAAAGGATGACGACTATTAACAATATTTGAATCATATTTGTGTTGACATAGCCTAGTATTTGAGTGCTTTGTTATTTGCTGGAATCCGTACAATTAGTCAATGATATTGAGACTGAAAGATACCGACACACAGTGCAATGGGCGTGCATGTGTGTGTGCGCAAATAATTAGACGCATTGAGGTTGTGTTTGTTCAGTAAAACTATATGTTTGCAAATAATAGAAAACAAACACAGTACAATCGATCTATTCGGTTTGTCTGTGCCAGATTAGATCCGATTTTGATTTTGAAGATGCGACAACGAGCCCATTTTGCGACTTATAGCATTGAAAAAATTTTGCCGCAAAAGAAACAAAACTGTCGCCAAAAGTCGGATTTGAGCGGCTGTGTAAACACTGCATTTCGGAATGAATGAACCAAAATCTTTTCATTTTAGATATTTTTATTGATCATTGCAACAAAATTCATCATTTGAAGAAAAAAAGTGTTATTTATTCAGTTGATTATAAGTGATATTCCGGCCCAAATTAAAGAAAATCGAATGAAATTAGTCGACATCAAAGGAGCTATAGTCATGCGTATCGTTAGTGGACGAATCATAAGTGTCAACGTGATCATGAGTGCTGCTAACCTCGTGTGAGCTGCTGAAATGATCAGTTGCCGATTCATATGATGTACTCGACAATTCGTGGTAGGTTGAGCTTGTTGTTGTCTCTAAACTACTGGATGCAGTGTGGCTTTCTTCACATGCGCTCTTAAAATCGGTTACTTTTGGCTCGGATGATGTGTCATTAGCTTTTGAATCATATGCCAAAGTGGATAGCTCAACAATGACTGGGCCACTAGTTGTGACTTCGCTTGACACAACGTGGCTATAAGTTTTGAACTCGGATGATGGGTGAGATGAAATCACCTCAACCGTTGAGGTTGTCACCTCTTTATGGAAACCATTTGGCAACTCAACAAATGCGCTACTTTCTTTCGTAACTGAAGAGGAAATCAATTCATTCTCATCCTTCGATCCCGATGGAATGATCTCGACTTTTGACGAAATAAGTTCTTTGACTAGCCCTGGACTCGACAAGCCAATATCATCGGAACTATTTGTAACAACTTGTGTTGTTTCAATTTGATGATCTTCCTTTGGTTTCGATTTAGTGATACTATCAACGATAGTCAGCGAAGAATCGATTTTACTTTCTTCATTATTATATTTCGGTTCAGTTTTTTCCGATTGAGGTGAAATTGCGTTGACTGCCGATGTCATTATTCCACCAACGAAATTTTTGAACGCTTCAAATGTACTGGGTGGGCGTTCTTCTTTACCATTTGCATTTTCTTCTTGTGATTTTTCAATTTCAGGCTCTAGCTTTACGGGGCAAACGACCACCTCTGGCGACAACGGCTTTGGTGGGCAAATGGCTATATACATGGGTGGAAAGCTCTCAATTTGAGTGGTTTCAATGTGCTTTTCATCGGTTTTCTTATCAAAAATCGATGTGGTAACAACGCTAGATGTTTTTGTTTCTGAAATCGCCGCGGCATTCTTATTGAACGAATCATTCACAATTTGGCTGACAATTTCACCAATTGGCTCTTCACTTGACGACGATAAGGTCACTTTGTTCGTTGATGACGTCACCGAATGGAATTCCGATTTGGTTGACTCAGTCGATGTCACAACGATTGTTTGAGACGAAATATTTCCTTCTTTATCGTCGTAATTTTCCACCTTAGAGCTGGTTGCCGCTGATGTAATCGTCGTTTCCATCTTTTCACCAACCGGTGTTGGAACGTCGGCATTCGATGCACTATCATCAACGATTTGAGTCGTAGAAAATTTACCTATTTCTGGATTCTCTGTGCCCACTTTGCTATCGCTATCGATTGCGATTTGTGATGTACCAAACTGACCATTTGGTTTGCTCACGATAATTTGGGGATTTTGAGGATAATTCGGTGTATTACACGGAGTATCTGGAGTCCAATCACCAAGATGTCCATTGCTGAAATTATTTGGTCTTATCGGTCGTAACACTGGTTGCTCCGACACCGGCTGAAATTTATTTAAAATTTTAATTTTCATTTCAATTCGAAGAAATTTTAAATAAATTCACCTCTTTTTGAATAAACGTTCCCGGTACTTTTGTTGGAATCGGGATTGCATCATTCGTAATTGGTATGGTTTTTGATTTTCGCCTGCAGCAGCAAAACATGTTTGTTCGTTTAAATTGCAAGAGAAAAAAAAAACACTCTTCAACACTTGAACTGTACAATTTCGAATCTGTATTGATTCTGACAAGAATTCGCGTGCAAAGCGTAAGCTATTCGTAGGTAGGAGTGAGAAATCAACCGTATCTTATCGCATGGCCACCTGATTAGTACTTGATTTTTTATTACTAATCGGAAATTCTTGTAGCAGCCATCGATAGTCAATACTTATCTGCGATTGTTTATCAGTCCGAATTGATAAACTGTACAAGCCACAAACCATATTAAATCAGCGAATATACAATTCTTCTACAGGTATTGCTGTCAATACCTTGATGTAAGTTTTTTTTTGTCAATTATGGAGTATTTTGCAATCACTCAATGAAAAATAATGACAAATGCCATGAACAATGGTTAAAATGAGCACGGGAAAAAAGATAACGCGTTCTGAGTACATTTGCACCATTTCGTCTCGTGTCTAACGATCATAAAAAACTTGACTCAATCACTCGGACAAAAAATTGAAATGGTTTGAAATATTTGTTCTCATTTTTTATTTTTATTCTTTATCAATTTCTCGTGTGTTTTTTTCTTCCAATTTACTATTTTGCAAAGCATTATTATTTTGTTGTACTTTTTGAATTGTTATTCGATTCGATTAAAATGAAGTGGTGTTAGATTGCGTAGTTCCAAATCCTCCAGCCGAGCTATCAGTTGTATATTGATCAACACCCATTCCACCGCTGCTAACGAATCCGGAAGATGAAGTGCTGAAACCACCATCAAATCCAGTTGTTGTGGTTGTTACCGTGCTACTTCCGAATCCACCTCCGAACCCACCGCCAAGTGAACTGTCGGTAGTGATTTGCGAAGAACCGAAGCCTCCACCGCCACCAAATGAAGGTCTACTGTCTGTAACGATTTGAGAAGTGCCAAATCCACCGCTGCCGCCATCAACATATGAAGGCTGATTTGAAACCACACTACTGATTCCAGTCTGTAATTCAAAAGATATTTTTCAATTAAAAAATATGTTCCAACACTTTGAAAATTTCACAAAATAACAATCAAGCTAGAGTTTGAACCTATAATTAATAATAATAATAATTTGAATGTCAATAATACAAACCGGGTTGTTGTTACTTGAATCCCAGTTGGTGGTAGTGCTGCTGAAATTGTTATTCATTCTGTCGTCTCCGCACAAGCAATCCAAACACATTTAGAATTTTTTTTCTTCAAAAAACAAAGGCAAGTATCGAAGACAGAACTTTACTGTTGCGCGTTTTATTTGATTCTGCCAGCGCTGCAAATTGGCAGTGTGCATTTTGATGCGGTTTTTTGTAGATCGTTGTTTACGCCAAACGCTGATATCTTATCACCAAATCGGATTTTACCCAGTATGGCGCGGACTATCAACACGGCAGTAAATTCTTATCAACACTTTTATCGCGAAAATGTCATCATTGTTTACCAATTGTTTTCGAGCTTTTTGTAAACATGATTCATACGTTTTCATTACACCACTTTTATTATTAGAAATATTCTCAAGTTCCAGTAAGTTACGCACGTTCAAATTATGATCAATTCAAAGAAGAAAAAATTGCGCCGTAAATTATTGATATTTTTTTATTAGTTTCAAGTGCGAGTTTTTCAAACGGCTGAATCGCAGTAGTGAATAATACTGAATGATTAATAGCGCCGCTTAAAAATAATAAAAAATGATATACAATTTGTCCAACGGTATCAGTTCAATAGTACAATACATCACACGCATTTGTGTATTTCAAACACTCGCGCTGAATATGACAAATCGAAAAAAACAATTGTCGTGGATATGTGAGTGAATTCGCTAGAATCGAGTATGTGCACAATGTGTAGTCTAAAATTGAATAGATTCGAAATAGGTGGTAAAATATGCTTTTTAATTGTTTTTTTTTACAGCAATGACAAATTACATACAATTGCTTTCAATGAAACTGCTGCTTTCCTTCTCAGGATTTTGAAAAAAAAAATTGGAAGTGTTTTGAAGTAGATAGACGTGTGAGAGTCTGAAATTCGGACTATATCGATCCATGTATTAAATTCAATAAAATATAATTGTATTGAGATGACCTTGAATTTTTTGAGAAATTTTCTAAAACAATATACAATTGATTGTTTTCATGGACTAAAATCGTTCTATGCTTCCATTAGGGATTCATTTGTTTTTCACTTCTAGAGACACGTCAATATACATAGTTGGAGTTGCAATTTTCGTCGAAAGTTATTAACACATTTTTCATTCGTTTTAAGCGCATGATGACCCTTCGGAAAAGGACGATTTCTAAGAAGAGAGTAATTTCAAACTAGAAATAGAACAATATAAGTTGTTGCGATTTGATATGGCGTTACACATGTCTGTCTATAGCAAATTGAACGATGGCAGCCGTTCAATAAATACAATAAACAATTGAAACTATGTGTAGTACAGTACGCACTGCAAAATCCATTCGGTATTGAATCGAATGTGATAATTCGAACAAAGCGTACAATTCTCATGGTTTTTGTCGAGTGGACAATGGTCATCAATTGGGATTTTGTGGAAATAAGTGTGACATAAAATTTAATCCCCCTCATTACGGCTGGAAAGTGTGATCGATCGATTCGGAATAAATTTAATTCAATTCATATTTTATTGCATTCGGTGCAAAATGTTGTGCGTTTTCAAATGAAATAGTTTCCGCTATGAAACGTTCAAGTATCGACGAGCGTGTGTGCAAATAAAAGGATTGTCATCGAAATATATAACAAATGAAACAATTTCAACGAAAATGCTTCGTGCATTAGCAGTAATGCTGGCGTGCATCTGCCTAAATTGGTCATTTTATGAGCGGTCACACAATGGGCCTCAAAAGCATGCGCGCAATTAGAAAAAGATATGATGAAAAGCAATAAAATCGGGATATTGCACTTTGTCAATTGTGCATGGCGGCCGATGTGTGTGTACACCAATGCTGAGAGCGGCCGATTCAATTTCGAAAGTGCAATAAATAAAACGTGAAACTATAACCGCTACAATTGTCTGTAAATTGCCTGTCACATCGTTTTCAGCAAGCGAGCAAACGAGAGAGAGAGAGACTCGGACACATTCCGTTCATCGTTCAATATTTGCAACATCGCATACACTCACTCAGTCACACAACACATTTGACGGTAATTTGAATCTTGATTAATTGTACCAGCAGTAAAATGATGCCCCCGTTTTTCAATTTTGCATTTATTGCTTCGACCTCTTGAAATTTCATATCGTCCACACTCTCGCTCGTCCATTTCGTGTGTGTGTATTTATTGTCGAAAATGTAAATTGATGTGGTGAATGGAAAAATATTTCGGAAAATGCGACGACTCTCAGTCGAAATGAGAGTGTGTTTGACTGAGGTCAGCCGGCTTTAATAAATGGTCAATTGAATTATCACTCGTGTTCCATGATTCAATCTCTGTATTGCTACTAAAAAAAAAATCCCGTCCGTTGTTGCTGCCGCATTTTTTGTTCACATTCACTTTGAGTGGCCGACCAAAGATCAGGGCCCAAACTAATGTCCACCGCATGCAATTATATACATCTAAATGATCTGATGTGGCTGTCTGATTGTCATCGTCGGTCAAAATAATTAAAATCGCTTAAATTCAATTCAAATTTGGTGTTTGTTAAGTGAACGGTGATTTATGCAATTTCCATTTGATTTTTCTGGTTTTCGTTCGTCCTCTCTCGTCCATTTGTTCTAGCCCATTCATCGAAACGATCGAATTTCCTGCCAAGCCATAAACATTTTTTAATAGCTCAGGAAAATGTTTGCAGGATTTATGCATATTTCAAAGCCTTTTCGGAAGTTGTAAATTTACTCCGCTCCGTTCAGCCTAGAGCAGAGATAAAAAAAAACATAGCGTTGCATTCGAACTGCATGATTTACAAGCCATCAATAAAAACTAATCCTGACTAATTATAAAAAATATTTGTCTACATTTACCGAAAATATTTACTACTTCGGACAAACACAGGCATGAAGAATAGATGCAGTTTTTCGGCCTTTCTCTTTACACGATTACATTTTACGCACTTGGACTGAAACAACAACAATGGAAACCCATTCTCAGAAAGGGTTCTACTCTCTTATACACACATGCATGCATTCTTTGCTCACACTTTAAATGAGGCTCACTAATTGTTCCGTATCCATTTGTCGCCTTTGTCATATGCAACGGGTTACTTGTTGTCGTTCACATTAATTTTTTGCACACATACAGTTTTCGGAAAAGACAAAAAGAGTTCATACGGATTGTTGCTGCTTCTGAGAATGCAAATTTTTTCGTACCTTCCAATTGTTAATGAATGGTCGACAAATGAATGCAAAACTTAAAACGAATTGCAGCATAGAAAAACAACGAACGTTCTCAGTCTTGAAAAACAATAACAATTGAGAATCAGTTGAGGGTTTTGCAACGAAAAAATAAGCGAAAAAAATCATTGGGAATGGCAAAAGAAGGGAAAAACCGAATATAACAAAAAAAAAATTAAAGAGCTGACCTCTGAAGCCGATGCGTATGAATCTGATGAATCATTCTGTTTTGAAACAAATTGTATGAAATTAGTTTAAAATCGAAAATTTTCGCTTTGAAAATGATGAAAAATGATATGAGTTGTGTTGCAAAGTCAAAATATTGTTTTCGGTGCTGCTCAATTGCACCACGTGACTTCGACAGATGAATTTCATTTTTGGAAAAAGTGAAGCGAATGATTTGCAAGGAATGAAGTCCGATACATGAAAATTTACGAATGAATACAAAGGTCAGGAAGAGCAACATATCATCTTTGAATACCAAAGACGAATTTTCTTAAGAAAATTTTCTCATTTCAAAAAAATAGAACAAAGTATTTTAAAAGCAAATTTCCATCAAATAACATGAAAATGGAAGAAACAAAAACATATTTCACCATTTGGAAATGTTATGAGCAACATGAACGAATTAGCAAATATTGATTAATGATCGGAAATTGTAGGGGTGACTCGTGTACGGAAAATGGACGATTTGAAAAATTTGATTTGAAAATGCAATGCGCTTCAAGTATATTCCCTTGCATTTCTGTATGCATTGAATATTAGCAGTTGAAATCAATGCAAAAATGAAATATAACGAAAGAAAGAAGAAGAAAATAGGAAGGAGAAGAAGAAGAAGAAGGAGGACAAGAACAAAAAGAGGGAGAAAACACAAGAGAGAAAAAATATTCAAACCGCCACCTTCTGTTGGTACAGAGCAATAAAAGTGAAGGTCAAGCAACCATCCATCCCAATTGCATTCGTAGACGGATTCAGGTAAAATAGTTCGTCGCATTGGATGTGTTATCGGTTTCTTGCAGTGAAACCGTTTGAAATTCATTCTAAACATGGAAAAATGAGATTAGACGAAAAACGGCAAAAATTCACATATTAAAACGAATGCATGTCCATATTTTATGGAGGAGAAAGAGTGCGGAGAAGGAGTGAAGTAAGAAAGAGTGAGAAGGATTGGGAAAGAATAAGGAGAAAAGAGTACGAAGAACGAGTGTAAGCAGAAGGTGTAGTTGTGCACTAGCAAAAAAAATGGCACTTCAAGTGACTATAAAATAATTGTTGACTTTATGAATAAAAATCAGTATGGGGTTAGAATTTTGTGTGTGTGTAAATTTAGCACAAAACGCCAACATAACAAGATAAGGAAATGTTCTTGGAACCACAATGAACATTGCACATCGTAAACGACACAATGCGAACGAACAAACCTCTCTCTCAACCAAATGCAATGGACCGTGGTAACAAGCATGCCATAAACGCACAACTCTTTTTCAGTGAAAAATGTGTTTGCCTTCGAAGACAATAAACGAAGAAAGAAAAAAAAACTGTTAAATATGAAAAATGAAAAATGACATTCCGTTTGTTATAGATCTGCTTTTGTTTGGCACAATGTGCAAAATAGGAACGAATCGATTGTTTGAAGAAAAAAAGGAAAACGGTTGAACACCCGCCGATTTCATGTTTCGCTTAAAACAGTTCGACATATATTCTAAAGTCACAACATTTTTGCTAATGAGCCTCGACTCCCGAGAACGATCTACGAAAAAAAACATTCACTTAAAATTCTTCTTCACATGTCTCGATTGAAGTGAGTCATATATATAGTCCCGCAACATGTTCTGTGTAAATATTTAATAATCGAATTCAATATTTATGAGATGCCAATAATCGATATGAATTTTAAATGGCTGTGACGAGTCTCATCATAAAATATATCGAAATGTTAGTATTTTACCCAAAAACCAAACAAAGTCTCCAGTCGATGACACAATCTCGAACGAAACCATTTTTTTTATTCCACTAGATAAATGCTAATAATTTAGTG